TTCGACACTCCATCATGGTGAATCGCCCACAACCGCTCACAACTTGAGTTGGGTCATCCACAAGCTCCGCCGGATGATCACCAAACTCTCGATCACCACCAAGCCGTCTAGGTGATGGCGATCACCAAGAGTAACAAGCACAAACTCTCACTTGACCACAACAAGCCTAATGAGAAGGGTGGATGCACACTTGCTACTCTCTTTGCACTAATGAGGCCTTAATCTTGGATTCTCAAATCTTAAACACCTCACTAGGATCTTGCTCTCCAAAGCACTCTCAAGGGTGTTTCTCAGCTAATCAAATGGGCAAGAGCCCTCCCTTGGATGAATAGAGAAAGTATTTATATCCCCTCATTCAAAACAAACCGTTAGGAGGTTGAGTTAGCACTCTGCGGGGTGATCGGACGCTCCGGTCAGTTATCCCTGCCATAGAGTCGTTAAGTTGTGACCGAACACTGACCTGCATTCGGTCAACACTGACCGGACGTGTCCGATCACAAAAACTGCTCTCTGGAACTTTACTGATGTTGACCGGATGCTGGCATCCAGACTCCGGTCACTTTGGGGTTCAGCGTTCGGTCAGTAACCGAAACCTGACTAGCGTCTGGTCAGCACTGACCAGACGCGTCCGATCAGGATTCTCCCTCTCTGGAACCTTACTGGAGTTGATCGGACTCTGGCACCCAGCGTCCGGTCACTTGTCACTCAGCGTCCGGTCACAACCAGATGACTTCTGCTTGATCAAATGAACTGACCGGACTCTACTACCAGCGTCCGGTCACAACCGGATCAGCGTCCGGTCAACATTTGACCCTCCATTCACTTCCAACTCGAACTCATATGTGAATGAAGTTTGCTCCAATTGATCTTAGGGCTACTTCAGAGCTACCTAGTTCTAGATTTGACAAGTGCGCACCACACCTAACCCACTAGACTCACCTAGGTTAAGCTACTAGTCCATACCCCCCTTAATAGTACGGTCAAAGGAAAAACAAAGTCCTAAACTACTCTAAGTGTCTCTTCAACACCAAACGACACTTAGAACTAGTCCATCATTAACCTTGTCGTCCATCCTTTGAAAACCGAAATGATTTCCATCGTAGGGGCATGACAACCATGATTGTCCAATCAATTGCTATTACCATGACCTAACTTAATTACCTCTGCAAAACACACGTTAGTCATAGTAATCTCGTATTGTCATTAATCACTGAAACCTAACTAGGGTCCTAGATGCTTTCAGATGGATCGAGAGAGAGAGAGAGAGAGAGTGGGGGAGAGCAGTGCGTGTGCGTGGGAGAGAGATGGGTGGGAGCGGTGGCTGGTTGAGGGAGAGGTGGAGGGTGAACATAGAGGGGGCTGCGTATATATACCTAAGGTTTGGAGTGGGCTGCTGAGTGGGCCTCGGCCTATTAACCAAGACGGGCCTCTTAAGAGGTCCGCCTCCAAAAATGGACTATTTTTTTAGGCGGGCCTGTTAAGAAGACCACCTTGGTTAATATATTAACCGAGGCGGTTGCGTTAGGGCAACCACCTCGGTTAATAAGCATTAACTGAGGTGGTTGCTTTACAGTGCCCGCCTTGGTTAAGCATTAACCGAGGTGGTTGCTGGCTCGGCTATCCTGCCTCGAATAACCGAGGCGGGCAACCAGGCCAACCGCCTCGGAGCCTCAAAGTGAAACGCTGTGCAAAAGATTTTTTGTAGTAGTGATTATGATAAATAAAAACCAACACTAATTATTTGGTCAACTATGCATGCCAATTCATCAAAAGTACCTCTTTCATTGAGTGAATTGCAATATATGCATATATCATGCCCCGAGCCTTGAAGCCATCATTGTTATCTCTGTGGGGCCATTCTCATAGCAAGATGATAAAAAACATTCATCAACCATATATTTGTGCTAACGGAGATACTAAGGTACCATATGAATCAATCCACAAAAGTATATATGTGAAGCCAAAATAAATGTCAAAACATAATGCAAATGCAAGAACATAACCATCTCTAGATCCCAAATATTTTGGCTTTTGTAATTAATGGAAATTTATTGATAAACAAAGTAATTTGGCAGTCCTCCATGGTGTAAAGACCCATACGAAGGATGAAAATAAGAAGCTACGGGATAAACTCATTATAACGTGTGCTGCAATATAGATCTCTCTCAAAAACTCTCGACGCATACAACACACAAAAGATATAGCCACATGCACTAGACCTCCTCAAGAGGGCTTGAACTAGTATAATCTCTATATAATGTGTGCTACCATATAGATCTGCTTAGCTCACTAGCTCACTAGCCCACAATCCATTGTTCGGTGACAAGAACATCGACATGAGTGAAGGGTGTTACCTTATATTATCTTTTTATGAAATATTTTCATAATTTAGATGCAAATTTAGGATTTACTTTACATTGTTTTAAATTATTTGGGAGGTTGGTAAGTTATATGCAAAGTTATTTTAAATTATCTTTTATAATGGTGATTTAGGTAATTTACATATAAATTTAGGGACTTATTTTAAATTATAGATCATATGGTAGAGGTGGGAAGTTTACGTACAAAGTTATGGGTTATTTTATGTATTTTTAATAATGGTGGAGATAGGTATTTTGTATAAAAGATTATATAATTATTATTAGTGATGATGATTAGAGTCTACCAAATTAAAAATCAAATATTTTTTTATTATTGAGTGAATTTCTATGTTTATTATATTTTTCTCATAGTGCGTGTTGTGAAAATTAATGTGCAGCCTTCTTTAAGTCTCTAATTAGTATTAATCAGATCTTAACAAGTATAGAAGGCACCCCTAATCTATCTTGACTATCAGAAAAAATGGTCTCAACAAATGACAACACTTCAAACATGTGGTCTGACACCAAAACACTAATGGACCAAAATCAAATGAATGGATAATGTTCCATAGAAAATGTTTATCAGGTGCATCCGTAGGAACCCGCCACTCCTCATCTTTGGTGACCATCAAGCACCCTTTATTCCTTCTTTATACCATTTCTGTTGAAGGTTCTATTTTATTGTGTATTTATCTATTTTCTCTCTACGGATGCATACCAATTTTTGCTCTTTTTATGCACTTTTTGTTTTTTGTTTTTTGATTTATCTTTTTTTTATAACGATATACTTCTTTAGTTTTGCCTTTTTCTGTACTAACAATATTGACCATAGTTATGCCGGTGCTGGAACCTCGCACCCGGCTCACGAATCGTGGCAGTATCTTTACTTTTGTGGTTGAATTGTACTAGTACTGTCGCTAAAACTTGCCTTTTGCTTTAGGAAGGAAATGCTTTGACAATGCCAATTGTTTCTCCATATTATTCGAATACGAATGGCAGCCAAATTGATTAGGGAAGGTCAAAGATGGGCTTGACACTCGTGGGATTGAATCCAAACAGCTCCAGGTGACCAAAATTCATTCAGAAACACCAAAATTCATTCAGAAACAAGCTCTTTTTTAGATTGAGGTTAGAAATCAATATTTGGCACTGTAGCACTTTTGTTTGTATTTAATAATTATTGTCTAATCATGGTTAACTAGGTCAAAAGATTCGTCTCGTAATTTACAATTAAACTATATAATTAGTTATTTTTTTATCTATATTTAATACTCCATGCATATATCTAAAGATTTAATATGACGATAAGAGTGAAAAAACTTACGATCTAAACGAGGCCCAGCTCTGAATTTGCACGGGCAAGGCACAGTGGAGTGGAGTCGACAGGGCCCTGCGGCTCTGCAGTGGTAAGATTCTTTGGGAGATACGGTCAGGCGGTGAAACGCAGAGCGACAAGGACAACCCGTCCCGTCAGCGTCGTCCACCCACCAGATCCCAGTCCCACCCCACGCATTCATTCCTCTTCCTCTTGCTCTTGCTGCTGCATTTTGCCCGCAAAGAAACAAAATTCCAACGGGCCAATCCTGCACTGCCCTGCCCTCTGCAGTGTGTAGCGAGCGAGGGTGCGAGACAGCCAGTCTCAGCTGCATTCCGCGCGCGGTGCAGCCAACAGATGCGTACGTACGTTAATGGTCAGCACAGAGCTTTTCTGTAATCCCTACATGTCAGTGGCACATTAATCTGAGACGACAGACAAAGCGGCGCTTATTTATATATTAATCAATATTAATCTATCAGAGAATGAGAGAGAGAGAGTGGGGCTGCGTTGTGACTTGTGAGCAAAGCATAGCATCTGAAGGGCCCACTGCCAGTACCATGGCCAAGGGCCCACTCATGACTCATCTCTCACACTCGCGCCGCGCCTTTTCATGGTGATGGCCTGCTGCTGCTGCTGCTAGCTATACTCCTAGTACGGTGCTGCCGCCGCCTCACCTCTGCATCCTTTTCCGCTTTGGCCGCTTTCTTCCTTTTTCTCTCTTTGCCTTTGCTGCTTTGCGGCCTTTGCTCGATCGACACATCCTTGGCGCATCGATCAGCGGTTTCTTCGTCATCAGCGGCATCTCATCTCCCCCGGTCCGGTCCCTCCTTTGCTTGCTGCTGCTTTGTTCGCTTGCGTGCGCGCTTTACTGTTTCGCAGTCAGTCGCCACCATCTCCTCCATCCTCCTCCTCGTCGTCTTCCTCGCCGACCTCTGACCACCGCCGCCTGGCCCGCTGACATTTGTCTCCCCGGCCAACGTCGCTGGCTGGATTCGCGTTTATCTACCCCCGGCATTATCATTGCTCCCTGGACCCTGCTTTGGTTGGGTTGGGTTGGGTTTCGCAGCGCTGTTGGCTGGCTGTTGCTACTCCCGCTCGTTCTCTCCTTTGCCTCTGCTCTGCTCTCAGGGTCGCTTTGCTCTGCTGCCAAGATTGCTCTCAAGGTTTGACGGTGCCTGCTGCTCTGGATTAACCTTTCTCGCTCTCACTTCACTTCCATAACTGAGCTTCTCCATCAGGTTCAGATCTTGGACCCTTCCGGCCGGTTTATTCAGAGTTTCAGACCCAATACATAAAACGCACTTGCTCCAACAAATTCAGAAATGGCCGAGGTGAAGCCTGAGGACATGGTGCATCATCAGCCCATGGACCAGCTCCAGGGCTTCGAGTACTGCATCGACTCCAATCCTTCTTGGGGTATGTATGTCCCACACTCTCAACTGGTGGTGGAGCGTTGCTGTGTTCATTTGTGTGTAGCTAGAGGGAGCTTGCTGATTCTTCATCTCTGTGTGCGTGTTACAGGCGAAGGGATTGCTTTGGGCTTCCAACACTACATACTGTCCCTGGGCACTGCTGTCATGATCCCCACTTTGCTGGTTCCGCTTATGGGTGGAAATGATGTGAGAATCCCGTCCTTACCTGTACTCGTGTAGTTTCTTGATTTTGTTGCCTCATGTTCGTATCAAAGAAACAAATGCTACTTTTGCAGTACCATGTAAACTTACAACTTTGAAAACTAAAGAGAAAATGCGGTTGTATCATTTGTTTGATGTAAGAATTCATTGTAACTACAGAAATCTATTTTGTTCCTCTCCTTTTTTTTATTACTGAAAGAATGACAAGGCCAAGGTGGTTCAAACACTGCTATTTGTTACCGGGATCAAGACACTGCTCCAGACGCTATTTGGCACTCGTCTTCCCACAATCATGGGAGGTTCATATGCGTATGTGGTTCCGATCCTCTCCATAATCCGTGATCCCTCGTTCGCACAGATAGCGGATGGCCATACTGTAAGTATGCAATGATCCTGCAACATTGTTTTTATACCCCTATAAAACAAAACAAACGGTCATGGAAGACTGGACAGGTTGATATCATGAACTGCCGCACTAGTGAAAAATCCCATGTTTTGTACCCCCAGGCTTATCTTTTCGCGTTTGTCTTGTTTCCAGAGATTCCTGCAGACTATGAGAGCCATACAAGGTTCACTGATTGTATCCTCAAGCATCCAAATAATTCTTGGATATAGCCAGTTGTGGGCAATCTGTTCTAGGTACATGTAACTCTCCCTTTTGCCTTCGTTGATGCAAGATGGAATTATGCATCAATACCCATATCAAGTGCGCAAATTATTTCCTTGACATATCCGAAAGTACGAATGGTTCACTTAGATTCTTACTATATTGCAGCTGAGGGGCCCTTTGGTATAGATGTTTCAACTTTAGCATGACATGTCGACAGTCTTGTTATAGTGGCCACATGGTCAATACGTGGATCATTATCTGCTTATTCTTTACAAACTAGTCTGGGCCCTTTGTCTATCCATCCACTTTTGTGTCTGTCAGTTTGAATTGCCGGCATTACTTTAGAAAAAAAAGTACAATATGCTAATATGATATTCAAAGGTAGAAAAAAGTACGTATTTACAGAGGTGATAGGAATGGCTGCTACCTTCTGATCCACGGCAGGAATAAGAACATAAAATTTTTATGTGCATGTTGCAGATTCTTTAGCCCACTTGGGATGGTTCCTGTGGTTGCATTGGTGGGGCTTGGCCTTTTCGAGAGAGGATTCCCAGTGGTAAAAGCTCTAGTGGACGTACTTTTGCTATATATAAAATAATTCCATCCACATTGATTCCTTCAGTTTTCATACTCAAGAATGCTGTCCTCGACAGTCTTATTTCTTTTCTTTCCATTGTTGATTGTTTAGGAACTCTCTTTTTTCTTCCTTGCAAGGTGATATGATCTAAACGTTTTACTATAATTGAAGATCTCTTATCGTATAACTGAAAAATATTTGTGTGTCAGCATTTTGTTGAAGATGGAAAATTTATATCAATTATCCTTCTATTATACGTGCGATAATTCAACTGTTAGCCAAGAGCTGGCATTCTGTTGTTATGCTACCTTTCAAAAAAAAAAAAATTCTGTTGTTATGCTCTACTGAGTCCTATAAGCTAATTCAAGAACAAAATTTGCAGGTTGGGAAATGCGTGGAGATTGGTCTTCCAATGCTTATCCTCTTTGTTGCGCTTTCCCAGTATCTCAAGCACGTGAATATTCGTCATATTCCTGTTTTGGAGAGGTTCTCACTTCTGATGTGCATCGCTCTTGTATGGGTATATGCCCACATCCTCACAGCAAGTGGTGCATACAAGCACACAGCACTTGTCACCCAGATCAACTGTCGGACAGACCGTGCCAATCTCATATCTTCATCACAATGGTTTGGAGACTTCCCTATGTCACATTGACTAATGTTAACATCCATGTTTTACATTTTTCATGTAACTTTCCACTCTCTTAGGATAAGCATTCCATACCCTTTACAATGGGGTGCACCAACATTCAGTGCAGACCATGCATTCGGTATGATGGCAGCGGTGATGGTTTCTTTAATAGAGGTACCATGACATACTAAAAATAAACAGAAAAATTTTCGAAGAGGTTTATATATCATGCCTTGTAGCAAGTTGTTGGTTTTCATTATTTAGGATTCTTTTCAATCCGTCTAATTCGGTGGACAATATTTGAGGGTTGCAGACCACGGGAGCATTCAAAGCTGCTGCACGATTGGCTAGTGCGACACCCCCACCAGCATATGTCCTGAGCAGAGGCATTGGGTGGCAGGTTAGTGATGTTATCCTAGCTTCCAACAGCAATCGGTCAATATCTCTGACATGGCAAATAATCTTCCTTTTTATAAACTTCAATCCAAATAATCTTCCTATAGTTCATAAATGTTGGCTAGAAAAATTTCTGATACTTTATTGCAGTTGTACATATGTCGAATGACCAACGTTTTACTGAAGGGAAATTAAAATATTTGCATGTACTCTGTGTTAATACAAGTTAAACATGTTCTCACCTTTTTCTTCTCAAATATGTGATACCCAGGGCATTGGCACCCTACTAGATGGCCTGTTTGGCACTGGGACTGGTTCTACTGTTTCTGTGTAAGTGCATCTTCATGCTGATACATAATTCTTAATGCTGATATTGTTCTTTAGCTCCATGTCTAAGAGCATGCTGAATCTCTGCCTGCAACACAGTGAGAATGTTGGTCTCCTAGGATCAACAAGGGTTGGTAGCAGAAGAGTGATACAAATTTCTGCTGGTTTCATGATCTTCTTCTCCATTCTAGGTAACATTTGTCCCTAGCAAGTGACATTAAGTTGCATCAATTAGTTTTTCAGAATTCTATACAAGTTCTTTCTTTTTAAACGAATTCCAAAATTATCATGATTGCAGGAAAATTTGGAGCACTTTTTGCCTCAATTCCTTTCACAATATTCGCTGCCATTTACTGTGTTATGTTTGGAATTGTTGGTAAGCACTAAGCAGCATAGTAGACAAAGTGAAAATATCCTTTTCTAGCAATTTGTTATACTGTAAACTGTAGAACTAATTGATATGGTCATGTGTTCAGCTGCTGTGGGGCTCTCCTTTATGCAGTTCACCAACATGAACTCAATGCGCAATCTCTTCATCATCGGTGTCTCACTCTTCCTGGGTTTATCTATACCAGAGTACTTCTCTCGGTATTCCACAAGTTCTCAACAAGGCCCAGCGCACACGAAAGCTGGATGGGTTCGTTTTTTTTTCTATATGCTGCAAATTTCAAATTCCAACTTAAACTTAGCTCCCAGCAAAAAGAAGAAAACATCTAACATGATATAGTAACTCGAAGCTGGTGGAATGATATAGTAACTCGAAGCTGATGCATTGTGTCTCGTTTAGCATTGTATACTGTTAAAAGATGAGTTTGAATTGTTGTGCATTTTCTTTGTTTGTTGCAGTTCAATGACTACATCAACACTATCTTCTCATCACCGCCCACAGTCGCCCTCTTTGTAGCAGTACTCCTTGACAACACACTTGATGTAAGAGATGCAGCTAGGGACCGAGGAATGCCATGGTGGGCACGTTTCAGGACATTCCGTGGCGACAGCAGGAACGAAGAGTTCTACACTCTGCCTTTCAACCTCAACAGATTCTTTCCCCCGACTTAAGCCAAATTGCCATTGAGAACATGCTGCATGTCAAGTGGTCCACTGAAGCAAGCATTACCTAACAATGAGGTCTGCTTTTGAAAGAGTAGAACAACAAAAGGCTGGACAAAGGAAGAACTAATTCCTTGTTACCAATCGATTGTACATAAAACCAAATCGTTTAGGTCGACCACCGATGTCAAATCAGAATGTCAGATTTTGATGTAATGTGAGTTTAGAGATCTTATGAACAATTCATTTCAAGCCTTATATGCAAGCTAGCTTTTAATCAGTGTTTTCATGGCTTAGTGGCATGGTCTGGTGTCTAGTGCCCCAAAATCTATAGAAGATATCCAGCTATTGCAAGAATTATTCTTCATCTCACATTTTAGTATCTGTATATTAATTAATAGTAGTATTTCAACTTTTGCATATAATATATAGTTAGTGATAAAAAGACTATTAACTACTACTTCTTCATATCACAAATATAACTCTACTTGGACTACAATACGACCCTTTGGTAGCAATTTCTGTAGAAATATATGTGTCTTAAATACAAAGGGTAATTCAAAATTAATTTTTCATTAATCTAATATGCAATCTTGTGTTCTGAATGTGTATAGAAATTTAAATAATGGCAGTCAAATGTAAAACGTTTAAAAAAGGAGAATTCTAGGAAGAATTAATTAACACATAAGAAAGTACTAAACATAACCTTATTATGAAACTAATTTATAATCTTCCAATTATTAATTGGAGACTCCTTTTAAATTGACATGTTAATCTCAAAAAACTTGATCCGCAGGGGGAGAAACCCCCTGGGTTTTCTGCTTCAGATAGAAGGTGACTTTCTCACGCAGATCGAGAAAATTCTCCATCCATACAGTACCACAGCCCACATTAGATAGGGCCGGCCTTTAGACCTGTGCTTTGACATGAGACCCATACACAGTGGTACCACAACCCACGTGAGACAGGCTGGCCCTTAGACTTATGCTTTGGCGTGAGACAGGCGAGGAGATTTTTTTTTACGCGCAAACCTGTGCATGCGGAGGTGGAGAGTCGAACTCCCTACCTAGAGCTTCCCACTACGAGACGCTGCCAACCGAGCTAACTGCTCGTCCGCCACGTTAATCTCCACTAAAACAAAGAGGAATTCTAGAATTTTTTTTGTAAAAAGGAAGAAAAATCTCGACCATCAAAGTTGTAGACTGACACAGAGGAGGGAGGGGGCTGAGGATCTATAATACCATGTATTTTGATACAAATTTCAAACTCTGGATTTTACCATATAATAAAGAGAACTCGGTTATGCTATTGTGACTTTATTCTACGGAAATACTGTGGGTCGGGCGTCCATTTCGTCCGGACGCGCATTGGTGGGTCTCGACACCTGCCTCAATGGCCCAACATTGCCATCCACACGGATGCACCCGTCTCGCGTTGCTCAAAATAAAAAAAATATCCGTCACTTTCCTCTCGAATCACCGCCACACCCGCATCCATTCTCGAACCCACTCTCAAATCGCCGTCGTGCCCGCACCACCACGGCGTGCTCCACCTCGACCGTGCTGCCGGCGGCTGAAACACGGCGGCACGATGCACCGCGCCCGAGCGCCATCACCTGCCTTCCTATCTCCCCACCGCCACTCACCACATGCCGCCGAGTTGTTCGAGCCAATGCAGCGTGGTCCACGGTGACTGCTCCGGTGCTGCGTTCTTCACCGTGCCTAGCCGCTTTCCTGCTGCCATCCTCCCTCTCCACTGCATTCGGGCGCCGCTTGCTGGCTACCATATTTCCCCACCAGGTAGGCCGTTGCCGCCGCCGACGTTGTGTTTCAAGTGTTTTCAGGTGTTTCAGAAGTATGTTTTCAAGTGTTTCATCTAGATATTGCCTATGTTACAATGGCTATATACGCATGTTGCGAGTATATGTTTCAAGTGTTTTATCTGGATATTGCATAACATGCATGGTGCAAACGTATGTTTCAAGTGTTTTATACGTATGTTGCAAGTGTTTTATTTGTATGTTGCAAAAGTAGATCTGGATGTTGCATGTGTTTGCAATGGCTTTCATATGTTTTCAGGTGTTTTGCAAGTGTTTCAAACGTATGTTGCAAGTGTTTCAATTTTTTCGACGTATGTTGCAAGTGTTTCATCTCAATGTTGTAAAAATAGATATGTCGTTGCACATGTTGCAATGGGACCACCTGTCGCAGGCGTCTGCTGCAGTTGCTGGGGCACCGCGGAGCAGGAGCAAAATGTCCCCGCCTGCATGCGCGTGAAAAGCGTACGTGGCATGAGCGGCCTCCGCGTGTTGTAGGTCGGGGTGGGCGGCATGTGCGGTCCGGGTGGCGCGGGCCCCACATGGGCTTCTTTTACGACAGTGAGAACGGCAATCGAAACTTCACAAGCGTCATCCGTGGTGTACGCCCCCGCTCCTTGGAATTCTTACCCTTCAACATTGATAATGTAGCTCTCTCAGATTGCTGCAACGGCCACATCCTATGTTGGTGCCTTGGGGCTGATGGATACCGCTATGTCGTCTACAATCCAATGACCCAGAAGTTTAAAATTATGTCGCCTAGCACCCATGATGTTGACCATGTAGGCTCTTGATGTTCGATCCGGACCTTCCTCGCTTTTTCATGTGATTGAATATGCGGATGTCAACGTTGTGTGCGTGGGTGTGGAGATCTTCTCATCTCAAACTGCAGCATGGATCTATAAGGAATCTAAATGGGGCAGGCATACTAATGTGACATTTTTACAGACAACCAAGTATGTTTCTTAATGGTTATCTGCACATTATGGGGCACTCTGGGGGCACTCTATGATACTTGCTGTGGATATGGAGGGAAACACATGGAGGAAAATGGATAGGCCAGATGATGTTCAGCATTCCATGCATCAAGCTTAGGGTCACTTGTGCATATGTACTGTTGATGGTCTCAATGATTCCAAGCTTTGAATCTGAATTCTTGTAGACTATGGTACTGATAATTGGACATTGAAGCATATGGTCACCACGTGAATCCTATTTGGAAGGATTAATATTACATTTGATGACGAGGACATAGTGATCATAGTTCCCCTAGAATAAAATTTGATTTTCTTTGCTAGGGAGGATGGAATAATCATCGCATATAACATGGACCGCAAAAAAGTTCATGTCATCCCTATCCGTGTCTTTCGGTATGGTAAACGTACCGTTAAAAAAGAGTTCATCTGTAGACCATACTATCTTCCTTATGTTCCCTTATTCTTATTTATTAGCTTGGATTCATTTTGGGACTCGCTCGCTCCCACGTTTTTCAAGCTTTTTAGCCAAACGGTTTCAACTCACGCGACTCTGCTCCGGAAAAAAGGGTGGAGTTGTGAGAGCACCTAAAGAGGTACTCCACAAACTCCAGTTTTTGTGGAGCCGCTCACTGTGGAGTTTGTGGAGCGAGTTTGTGGAGCATTAAATAAAGATGTAACTCTCTCGCCATGCATTTTAAATGGACAAATGTTGTTTTCTTGTCTATGGATATGTTAATTTCCTCAATGATGGATGTTGTTATTATTTTAGCTAAACTAGTGTGCCATCTTTGTTTTGTTTGCAAATTGAATTATTTGTTTGGTGTGCACATGTGTTACGGTGGTGTTACAGCTCCCGTCGCCGTTTCATCCGTTAATTCAGTTGTAGTACAATACTTATATTGATTTATAATGTCAAGGGTACATAGGGTATCCAGATGAGGGCACTCCAAAATACACAAAAATGACACTTCAAAAGCACTACAATGCACCTGCCATATTGTACAACTAGGCTATGCTACTATTAAGTTAGCCAAACTTAAAATCGTAAACGACATAGTAACAAGCATCACAGGAAGACGAGGAAAACTACGGAGGATACTGTAAGACATGTTCAAATGTACATAGGTCGGACTTTCTTACATGTGCAATAACATTTCAACACCAATAGCTCCTCTGCTCTGCATTAGACTGAGGTGAGACTTGTGGTCGGACTTTCTTATGTGTGCAATAACATTTTAACACCAATGGCTCCTCTGCTCTGCATTACATTGAGGCGAGACTTGCTCCTCGCTGCAAGGTTCTTGCAAGTTCAATAAAGATCGACAAAGACACCAAGGCAACAAAAAAACAAACAGAAACCAAATGACCTGAGCTACACCACACTCAACAGATTGTAACTGCGAGACTTGCTCCTGGTGCTGAAATTGTAATGGTTGTCACATGTACCTTCTTCAGATTTGTTTCCTTTAGGGGGCCACATAGGTATTCAAATTTACTGTGCACGCAAGAAAGTCCTAGCATCGTAAATCTGACCAGGCCGGACACATCTCACGTTATACATAGAAACCTGTTTCGTCTGAGTACTTTTGTCAAATCCCTAAAGGAAACAAATAAAATTGAAACAAAACAACAGAAAAGCAAAAGCAAAAACAATATTCTAGACTTGTTTAGATGAACTCCTCACTGCATGGTTCTTTCAAATTCAACAAATTTTATCAAAGACACGAGTTGGCTTCAACAGAGATCAAAGGTACTCATGAATGTTTAGCATATTATAGATTAGATCAAAGACAACTAGAAAGAAATATGTAGTGAAAAGCAACCAACAGGGGCTACAAACCAGCTACAAAATGACCAAAGGACCTGAGCTACACCACGCTCAACAGAGTTTAACCCACCTAGGCCTTGTTTAGATGCACATGTATTCATCTCAATCCACATGTGTTGAAGTAGATTGGAGTGGAATTAAACTAAATTCTATTTCATTCCACTCCAACACATGTGGATTGAAGTGGATACACAAGCATCCAAACAAGGATGTCCATGTATTCATCTCAATCCACATGTGTTGAAGTGGATTGGAGTGGAATTAAACTAAATTTCATTCCATTCCACTCCAACACATGTGGATTGATGTGGATACACATGCATCCAAACAAGGCTTAATACAAAGTTCAACAAAAGTTAACACCAATATGCAAATAAGAGTTCACATA